AAAAAAAAAAACTGTTGCTATTGCATTCATCTTTCTCTCTCTCTCTCTCTCTTTTTATTTTTTATTTTTTCTGATGGCTGGCATTCATCTTTTTAGTGAGGATTAGTTTTTAAAGCTTAATGTTGGTATGGTATAATTGCTACATGTAAGCGTAATTTCAGTCTTTTCCAGCGTTCATGCTTTTCTTTAATAGCTTCATATCTGGGATTGAATGAGTAGACCTGAGAGTCCAATAACTGGCTGAAAGGAGGACTTAGGGAAGCTATAGGAATGCTGACATGTTCTTCTATAACATATGTAACCAATCCAGGTACACTTGGTAGGTGACTGATTTGTGATAGACCTGTCACACCTTAAATCCCTAAAGTGTTGTGCTTGTGTGTGTGCACCTGCAAATAAAAAGCCAGAACCAAAACCATCTTGGGCCTTTAGTTTGAAGCACATTGTACTCCCCAAAGGATTCTGCTTCTGCTTTACTGAGCCAGCTACTAAAGGAGCTCCAGCATAACATAGTGAATACAGACTTGTCTCAAAAGGAGGAAACGTAGGAAAGTTTCTGAGTTATTATTAAAGCCACAGCATTTTTCTCTTTAGGAGCAAAACCATCAATCAACCATGAGCTCTAAGAAACACAACATAATCCAGTGCTAACAGAATGGTATTATTCTTAGCCTCCTGAGAAAGGCACAGGATACATACAAAGTTCAAACACAGCAAATCTGTGGTGGCCATCAGAACTTTGGCAGGGGTTACATAGCATTAGTTAAACAATTTGGGCTTTTAGGCATTTTGTAAGTTTACAAGACCTGGTCATATACGTTGGAATATACACACACAAACACATTTTTCACCAATATGACATATACTATCAATAGCCTATTTATCATACGTCTACTTTGGCCCATGTATATCTACACACACACACATACACACTTTTTGCCAATACAACCTATATGCTATCTAGAGCCTATTTGCCATATGTCAACTTTGACTTCATGGTGATCAAATTTTGGCAAAACTTAATTAGATATACTGGTACATTCATTGATTTGGCGTAGAAAGTTAACACAAAAAGAACTAACTGTTTTAAAAAATCTTTGGTGGCATGTTAAAGGAGTCATATTTAATTAAGCATGAGGAGAGAAAACACTCAGAAATGTCTATTAGATTTAATAAAAAGCTTCAAACTCATTAACATCATTATTTTTAAAAAGTCACCTGAAATAATCCTAAAGGTCTCCAGGTGT